TGTTGTGCAACCAAACTAACTAACTACACTGCTGTGCAAATTAACTAAAAGCTAACTTCGCTAACTGAGTTATAATGGTTTGTGGCCGTCAGTTAGAAGATCTCATCTCTGCTAACAATACCACTGGTAGTTTCAGCTGCCGAACCACCAGACTTCAGAACAGCTTCTTTCCTCCGCTGTGAGACTACTTAACTCATCCTCCACCCTCCAGATAGTGCAATTAAATAACCCTTTAATGTTCAGCTGCTGGTTCAAGCTAAACTCTGTTCTGGATTCCTCCTCATGTTGTACACTGTCCATTTTTCCGACTGTGGCTCAGTGGAAGAGGCGGTCGTTCTTCAATCAGAAGATCGTCGGTTTGATCCCCGGCTCCACTAGTCCATGTTGATGTGTCTTTGGGCAAGACACTCAACCCCAAATTGGTCCCGAACCATTGCCATGTTCCCCAGTGAGCACTAACCCGGATTTCAACGTTGATTTCTGGTTGAAAACGCGTTGAAATGGGGTCTGAACATCTTAGACCTATTTTCACCGTCTTTTCAAATTACGGTGACAATATCAACGTGTCACAAAACACCAATTTCTTTTAAAATATTGATGGTTTGTTCAGTTGTAGGTTGAAAGAGATGCGATTTTGGTTACTACGTATTTCTCCAAAATCATATTACGCTGGCTTGTTGATATGTGGTCTACATGAAGATGCGATTTCAACGCATTTAATGTTTCATATAAAACGTCGTAAATATGGAACTATAGACAGTGTGCTGTCAACAAGAAGCTCCCAGGACATCATAATGAGAGCAGAGCACATTCTGTCTGTATGTTCACATAAAATACGACTGTGTGTTTACTGCTGGAACAAGCATGCTCACGGACTCTGCATTTTTCTAAGTTAGAGACGATGACTGGAAAGACGGCACGATTTTTGCCTCTTACTGAGTTGATGAGCGAAGTGAACGAGCTGACGGAATAAACGAGGCTTCGCGCTAACGACATACTCTGTAAGTACTTGAACTACTTTCTTCCAATATTGCAAACCGAAATATCATTACCATACCACTAATATCATGTTATGCTCACCATGCGGGCGAGGCTGCTAGCTTGTAGCGTTAGCATGTTACGAACAGTAACGGAGTTGTACCCCGAACTGGACAGTTTTTAGCTAATGTTCCAATACAATTCACCTAAAATGTTGACAAAAATTATCGTGTAATGTTTTCAGTTGATTTAATGGTCTTAAACTGAAGTTTAACTTCATACCTTTCAAGCTAAATATTGTTGTAATTACTAAAGTTAGCTTTGCCTTTACCAGAGTCGTTAAAACGATGCTAACGCCGGTGAATTAGCCGTGCGCCACTATTTTCCTAATCCGTACTGACTTCTATCCTCGTTGTAAACACTGGGTGCTGCTGGTTTTTCGGGGATATTCGCTTGTTACAGGGTGGCAAAAATGACCATCAATGCTGTCAACACATCCGGGAACGTAGTTCTGTCCTTCACAATAAGATATCACGCTTCAACAACTCCAAATTGAGCAATAAAAGCTCCTTAATTTCCGTTTGAGTGTATACCACCACCTGCTGGATGTTTTGTTAAACTCTTCTCATGTCAATCACTGGCAAACTCCCACAGTCAATTATGTCTGGGGTCCGGGCAGTAAGGCGATGGTGTTGCCGCTCCCAGAAGTTTATCCACCACGTCTGGCCAAATACGGTTCTTTGTGCTTCCCGGTGGCAGAGGTTGTAAATGGCCAGAGCGTGGGCCAGGACCTGAGGCTTCGTCAGTGGAAAACCGTGACTGGCAGAATACAAACAGTACTCCACCAGGGAATCCTCACCTTCAGGGGTGAGGAGCGTCCTCTGACCATAGACACAGTCAGAGGACACCCTTCCACTGACTCGGTCACTCAGGCTGGACTCAGGGACCCCAAACTGCTGGGCTGCCTGCCGTAGAGAAAGCCTGCCTGCTTTCACCTCCAGTAGGGCCTGTGCCATGGCCTCCTGGGTCCACTTCCTCGTCTTCCTCTCCCTCTTCCTGACTTGCCGCATGTTTGGCATCTGCAAATACACATTTATTTTGGCACAGTAAGAAATTAAATTAAAAATTAGTTTTAAAGCCACATTACATGTCTCAATAAATTGAATAATTCTATAAATTGCCAGATTACCATGTATAGACGCATGCATATTTAACACATGCATAGACATAAATATATTTACCTTAAACCATTGCAGATTTACAATTTCTATATCCATCTCTTATTTTCTTGATCCTCCTGTAAAGGAAAAAACTCACAGACACATTACCTACCTTTCTTTCTTTAAAGGTTCTTCCTGTCTTTTCTACTCTTTCTGCTTCCTGATGTCTTCGTTCTGTTCTTTTCTGCTTCTTTAAGTCTGCATTCTACTGTTTTTCTGCTTATTGCTGTCTTCTTTCTGTTCTTTTCTGCTTCTTTTAGTCTGCTTTATAATGTTTTTCTGCTTATTGCTGTCTCCCTTTGCCTCTCTTCTCTTCCTTCTCTCTGTCTCTGTTCTCTATCTTTTCAGGCAGGAACATAAACCACAAGAGAGAAATTTGAGTCAAAACATTACATTTTGATTAACCTTATATACTGTATAACATAGCACTGTATTATATTGGAGGTTTATCTACATACACAATAGTTCTAATCATAAGAGCCACTGCTGGCTTTCAATAAATGTCAGTCTCTCTCACTCTCAAACACACACACACAGACACACACACACACACGCCAACATTATTTGCATAATTTATCAGATCATTGTGCATTAATGTACTTGATGTAGCCTGGCTTATGATAAACAAGAAAAACATTTTATTTTACATGTCTGCTGTTATGTTTCAGAGCTAAGACCAAACAATCAGCTGCCTAACTTTAACTCGCGCTACGATTCTTTGATCGTTTTTCCCGGGGTCACAACTTTTTTTTTCAGACACAACATTTCTGCCTCCCTCCCCTCGACTACAGATTATGTCACACATCAATGCTATATTTTCATTGGCTAGACAAAGTAGTGTAAAGCTAGCTACAAACTACACTCATATGCTAACTCATATTAGCAATACGGTGAAAACACAGACACGTTTCAGAGTAAAGAGCGTTGCCCGAGCGTCGCCGAGTGTTCTTTCTGCTTTCTCTCATCAAAGTCACTTTTAGACATGTAAACGTCCATATATATTCATGAAATTTGACACGTCGATTCTTTGATATGTATGAATTAATATTACTTAATGTGGCGATCGCCAAAGAAAATGACAGCGAAATGACCGAAAAGTGCGTCACGACGGAATCGTTCGAGACAGACCAATACCAGCTAGCGCCGTCCGAGGCAGGCCATCGTTACGTTAAACATAGACATGTGTGTTCGTTAATGTTGGAGACACTTTCTTTGTGGACTGTCCCTGTAGCCTAACGTTATAAAATAGAGTATTTAGGACATTTCACATGTAAAATACACGGCGGACAGCGAGTGGGGCTGTACACAGTTTAAATGATGAGAACGTGAGTAAAACAAATGTACTAATAAGAACACGGTCAAAACATTGTTGTTTGGCTCATAGTAATATACAAACAATATAAAGTATATACTGAAAAGAGACTATGGTCTCCGGTGAAGAGACGTTCAAAACTGGTTTAAAAGTGAAAATGATTTTCTAATACTTGTTTTATATACAGATGTCCACGTTGAAAATATGGCAGATCTCCTGAAACCGGCTCCTGTGTGGCTTTGAAAACGACATTTAAAGAAGGAAAAGGAGATTATGGTTTTATATAAAGAACATTGTTTGTATTTATATTGTGCTTAATAAATACAAATTAACTGTTGCCTGTGTCACTTGGTCTTTTGTCCTGTAAGTGGAAACTGATGATGTGTTAGGCTACTATGATTATGTATTTAGTTGCTACATATTGATTTTCCACGTTGAAAACATGGTGACGTTGAAAACATGGTGATGTTGAAAACACGGTGACGTTGAAAACACGTTTAAAAGTGGTTCAAAAGTGAACGTTTTTTAGCCGACTATTTGAAGACGTTGATTAAACGTTCACGTTTAGACCAGATTTCAACGTGATTTCCAATACTGGCTTTCAACTGATTAATGTGGATGTGGTTTCTTAGTAAGCCTCTAAAATCATGATATATTATTATTAGCACAATGTAGAGGATGGAAAATTGTAGTATTGCAAATCACGTTGAAATCTAAGCGTGAATCAACGTCTACAAATAGTCGGCGAAAGAACTTTCACTTTTGAACCAATTCTGAACGTCTTTTCAATGTTGGGCGTAGACGTCTTTTCAACTTTGGGCTTAGAAATCTTTTCAACGGAAAAATGCTCACTGGGTCAGACCATATGAAAAAACAGCTTATTCACCTGAAAACCTGGCTGTGCCATTGCGTGGCACAGCAGGGATGTGGACAAATGGCCAAAAAAAAAAAACACATGATGGTTAACGAAAACATTTCTGCAACATATTGCAATGCATCAACAAATGATCCCTATGTCAACAACTAGAACACTGTAATTATGTGAATATACACAGCAGTAAACTGCAACTTTTATAAGCTTTAACTATGAACTGTTCTTAATGTTCTGCAACAGCCAGAAGGCATAAAGATTAAAGAAGTATTGGATGGTAATGTTGGTTGAAGAAGAGATATAGGGAAGTAGGAAAATGTGTGGGGATGAAAGCAAAGAAGATGGCAGTTTGTAGTTGAGTCCAATGTGAGGATTGAGACATCAGCACGGATTAGCGTGCTGTAAACTGACAACAGCAGAGCCAACATGTGAACAGCAATTTCATGTCGACACAGAGTCAATAGAGGTGGAAGGAACACAGAACAGAGAGCAGAGGGGGAATTAAAAAAAAGGTAAAGATAGATTCCAAAGTTGGAAAAGAGGAGCAGGTGGCAGAGAAAGAGAGAGACAGAGAAAAAGACAGAGACAAAGAGATAGAGAGAGAAAAAGATAGTGAGAGAGAGAGAGAAAGACATTGAGAGAGATAAAAAGAGAGAGAGAGAAAAAAGAGAGAGAGAATAGGGAGGCAGCGAGCTTTCCCAGAGGACTTCAGGAGCACCGAGGGAGCTCGCTGCTGACAGATAGACGGTAGGAGAAAGACAGAGAATCATACAGAGTGAATTGGCTTTCCGCTCTGCGGACAGACAATTCTCTGAAGATCACTGCTGCAAACATAGGGACAGTCCAGGGGTCCTGAGATACCACGGTCTGCAAAGGGATGAAGGAGAAGGACAGAAGAGACGAAAACTGACAGACTGGAGAACAGCATTGTGCAATACGAGGCAGAAATAACAGAGGATCACATTAAGAAGGTAGAAAAAGAGAATAACACAAGGCTGAAGAGACAACTTGACAAAACTAAGGCACCATGAAAAACACGGCAGAGGAACATCCATACACCTAAAGTGGGCAAGGAGACAGAAGAAGACACAGCAAGGACAATCCCTCTCAATGTTCCAAAAACCAAAGACATGAAGACATTTGGATGACAAAACATGACAGACGGAAAATACTTCTTCAACACTGCTCTTTACATGAGAGGAAGAAAAGAGAGACAGAAGAGAAGCAGGCAAAACACTAGAGGGACAGAAAGGAGAGCAGCAGGAGGAGAAAGACCAAGGAGAAGAAGCACACAGCAGTAAAGGAAGAAGAAAAGAGGGACAAGCGAACGAGGGACCCAGACTAACCCTGGAGTATCTCACCAGCGCATTGCTCAGCCCAGCAGGGAAGATGTCCAAGTCCTCCCCCCGTCTGGGTCGACCCGGATCAGCGGGGTCTAAGAGCCCCAGCTTGAGAAAGGAGCCGCAGGGTAATCGCTCATGCATGCTGCGGATTGGAGAGAGGCTGATGAGGGCAGGCAGCGAGGGGAACCTGGTCCAGAGACCCATACCAGCCCAGAGCCGGAGCGAGGCTTCCTCAACTGGATTAGGGCAAGGACCTCCAGCCCTGGAGGACAAGCCTGCTGAGCATACAGGAAATAACTCCAGCAAAGGTAAGGTCCCTCTCTCCAGTTCTTTACACAAACATATTAAACCTCACATAATGCTGTATGCTAGATTACCCAAGGTAGCGCAGAAAATTACACAGTAAGGAAGGAACTTTTGTGGCTTTTATACAACTTTACTTCTATAGTCTATATTTGTGATATCTCTGACTCGGAATTCACACAGAGAGGCTGACATGAATGGTTAACCCACTGGGTAGCTCATAGCTGCACTGGGGCGTCTGTGGCTCAGATGTAGAGCGGGTCGTCTACTCATCAGACGATCAGCCGGTTCCCGTAGATTCTGATGAGCAGGTGGCAACCATGACTGTGTGTGTGTGTGTGAACGGGTGAATGTTGATGTGTAGCGTAAAGCCCTTTGGAGTGGTTGAAAGACTAGAAAGTCTTTTTCATTTTTCATTCACTCATCATAAACGATATGATGTAAGGACTGGAGGAAGTGTAAAATGCACATTTACACTTCGTCTATTCATGCTGTCTGCCTCACATTATTTGTATTCAGGCATATATTTAACATACAAATACTTTTAAATTAGGGCGATATATATGATCTCTTTCTAATGTGTTTCACCATTTTAACATGCATATTCCAAGCTGCAGTGAGAAAAGCAGAGAGGGATTTCTTGTGTGTTCTCAATGCTCACACTGCTGCTGCCAGGCTGGATTAGTTGCTGTCATGCCGGCAGAGTTCATGCATGAACTGTGATCCATCTCCGTGTCAGTGTGTCAGTCCAGCAGCAGGGTCTGCCCTGCCATTCACTGCTGCTCTCACTTTCTCTGGTCAATTTAGAACCTTTGACATGAGTGTTTACATGAAGCCCTGTTACATTACCGTGCTGTATATAATACAATATTACATACATGTATTCGCATTTAGAGTCTGACTGACTGGGGAATAATCTCTACCCATCACAGATTTGTCAGTAGCAGTGTATACGTCAATGGGCAAGTGAAAGAAATGTCAGCTCAGAATATATTTTAGTCACAGTGTCTCCATTACAGAGTCTGTATTATACGGAGTACTAGGTTTGTTAGAAAGTTTATTTTTGCTCTGAAATACTTCCTGCTCGGTAAGGAGTACTCACAACTCCAAAACCTGATCCGAAAGAATGTAAAAATGATCGTCATGCTGCCCCATCTTCTCTCGAGGGGACGGTGAGGAAGCAAGGTCATGAAATCACCTGTGCCCAAAACCACATCTTTCACAAAGAGTAGAGCTTCAGGCAGAAAGTACAGATCACCAAACTGTAAGTTGAACGGGAAAAATGTTAGTTCCACTATAAATCAAACTAAACATTAAAAGATATAGGGTGTTTGTGCGTATATGTGTATGTATATATGTGTATATGTGCATTAATAGCGTTACGGCTTGTAGGGCATCATGTAATATTCTCGGGTGTGTGCGATCTGTATGTGTTACTGAATGTTAATGTTACACCCAGGGTAGGACATTTACATATTTTTTTGGGGGCAACTTTTGCCCCCACTGACTGAAATCCAGGGGCATTTTCAAAAAATTGGGGGCACTTTTTGAAACTTTGTTCAAACTTTTTTTCAAAATAATAAATATACTTATTTAGGCTTACAGTATATGAGCAATTGTCATCAAATGGCAATAATAAGACTATTACGCAGTAGTCTACAGATTCAAAGTGTTTTCGTCGATTTTTTTTAACAAAAAACAAACATAAATCAGACAATCATATTCAATTTCATTCTTATTTCTTTGTGGTTATTTATTGTTATTATTAAATGTTTTAAACTATTAACAATTATTAAGTCAATGATGCCTTGATTACATATACATCAGTCATTGTATGGAATTATTGAGAAAAACATTTTTATAGCACCTTCAAATTTTTAAAAATGTGCCATTTGAAGGTACAAATTCAGTTCAGAGTTTTTGCTTAGTAAAATTAATTGACTATTAGTCAGGTATTATTCATTTCCAGCAACCCTCAAATCAAAGAATAAAGACACTTTACGCACAATTTAGGTGTATTTTACCTTTACTTAATGTGAATATAATTCATTTAATCTAATTTCTATTATGCAATATGTATACTTTGTTGGCATCTTATTCTGAAAACCGGATGTTAGTCTGAAGAAACCGGATGTTGTCTCACGTTAATCTTTCCGTTAATTTTCAAAGTCCTTCGCTTGCTCCCGATCTGCGCCGTTTGAATGAGTTTACCGTGTATTTCAGCGTATAGGTGCACAACAATTTAAGTGTCTGCTGAGTTGACCGCAGTCTCGCAGTCACAGGTCTGATTAAGGAGCGCTCCATTTTTTTATTCGTTTAGAAAGTTCGGGGACATTTTTTGCCCCTCTCCTAGTGATATCAGGGGCAAAATGATATTTCTTAGGGGCAGTTTTGCCCTTTGCCCTCGTGTATTTCCGACGCTGGTTACACCATATGCTATTGTGTGAATATGTAGAGCGGCTGCGTGCTGCTACATTATCTGTGTTCTCTTGAATGCATATGGGAGACATTGAAGGCTTATCGTATCTTAACTGAATCTAACATTTCCATCACAATTCTCGGTAACACTATAATAACTACACACTATGAAGCATTAGTTAAGTAGGAGCAAACACTTAATTCATCATTTATAAAGCATTGTTCCTACATTAACACTCATTAGTATACAATTTATAACAGTTGTAAATGTTTTATTATTGATTAATAAGCTCGTCTATTATGTGTTTCATTATTGTGTTTTCATACTTTATAAATGATGGATTCCCCATTTGTAAATTAAGTATTATATATCTTACAAACCAATTATTAAGGAGTTGTAGATGATTAATAAGATAATTTATAAAGTGTTAGTAAATGATTAAGAACTTATTTAGATGTACATTATTCATGCATTTATATATATATAATGATTTAGATATGCACTAATGGTTAGGGACTATGTTAATATATGCTTTATAAATGCATATTAACACTGCAATTCATGATTAATTCAGGTAGTTACTCGTCATTAATAAAGTGTTTTGTGTGACCTCATCTAAAGTGAGGACTATCTATGCCTTATAAAGCATTTATAAATGACATTAAAAGGCCATCAGTGCCTCAAAACCCACAAAAGTCTCAGTTATCTTCTCAACAGAAAAGGCAAATAGAAAAAACACAAAGTGATCAAGAACATATCAATATTTATTGCAAGATGCAAACAATATACTCGTAAATACAAACCTCTCAGCCATTCATTTGTGTAAAAAAACAAAACAAACTGGCTGGATATAAAACATTTGTAAATGTACAACTGGAGCTGGCCAGGAGCTTTAATATATATAATATTTAATTTACAAATGGGGAATCCATCATTTATAAAGTATGACAACACAACCACGAAACACATAATAGACCAGCTATTAATCAATAATAAAACATTTATAACTGTTGTAAATTGTATACTAATGAGTGTTAATGTAGGAACAATGCTTTATAAATGATGAATTAAGTGTTTACTCATACTTAACTAATGCTTCATAGTGTGTAGTTATTATAACGTGTTACCCAATTCTCTATTAACCCAATTTACAGGATCCTTAAAGTGTAACTCCATTGGAAAAATGCTTAAAAGTGGGCAAGGAGCTGGGAGGGGGGAGTGCTATTCTATCTATTCTATTTTTAGATAGGTTTCATGACATAGATAAGTCCTAACCGGTCAACTCTGTCAGCATTGCCATGCAAGGTTCAGCCATTTTCGTCCCATGAAGTTATGAGTTTTATACATTCGTAAAAAAATGTCAATATTAACCCCAGCATTGATATGTTTCATCACAGCACAGTCATATCATTTAATGTATACCTCAAAAACATGTGAAGTGTGCAGGACCTCTTTAAATGTTTATTGTGTTAAATAGTTTAAAAATATTGTCCGATATACTCTTGTCTTTTTTTAATTCTCAAAAGCCGGCATAGTTCTGTATACATTCATATACAGTACATACAATGTGGGAAACAATATCTTGAAAACATGTATTTATGGTGTATAAAACACATAATCGCATACTAATGGCAGTACTAGATGTACAGTTCTTTGTTTGTGCAATCTCTGCTGGTTAACTGTATGTCTGCACAATCATTTCTTCTCCTGTGATATTTACAGCTCAGGCTTTACCTCGTTGTTGATAGAAGATAATCCTGCTCTCCTGGATGCAGTCAGCTAATATAGCTTTTTACAGACACGTGCTTCCATGAGTCAGAAGAGCCTACAGCAGTGTGTGTGTGTGTGTGTGTGTGTCTGTTTGCACAAATAGGCGATTATTTTCTTTCTGAGGACATTTCTGTAACACGTTATAATGAGGCTACACGTCTAAGTCATATGTTAATGCATTGCTACATCTACAAATTAGAATGAATTCATGTTGTAAATAACGCAGCACATGTCATGACGGTCAATGCTAATGTGGAGGAAGTGACTCTTTTTAGATGATGGCGACATTATGCTGAGTTCAGAGTAAGTACATCAACGCTACAACTGTGCAGCCTTGAGTAAGGTCATGGTGTGATATAAATAAACTAATGATTATTTATTTTATTTACTAAGTGTTACATTTTGAGCTGACCACAGTTTATCAGGGGAGCCTGAAGGGACGGGCTGTCAGTGTTGCAGACTTGACGACTTTCTTGCTAGATTAAGCAACGTTTGGAGCTAGTGCTGCTAGCTACTTTCAAAAGAAAACATCTACAGTCAGGCTTTAACATCATCTGTTTAGATTCATATTTGGGATCCTGAGTGGGGTCAATATATAGTGGCCATCAGCACGCACAGTTTGGTTCTTTGTTCCTGGTTCATTCATTTTGTGGGCATCACAAACAACTCTCTACTAAACATTTTTTTTAAATAAGAAAATTAGCCCCCCTTTGTTTGAGTTAAATATATTGGGGGAAGGTTTCATATAGTCCCCAAAGTGATCAAAGGCTTTTAAACCAAATTATATTTAAAAAAGTATACTTACGTTCAGTAGCA